TTATTCAAGCTTATCGCATCCGTCACTTCTCCGTCCTGTGTTCCGCGCGAGGGCACGGGACGTTGCCGTATTCGGGAATGTGTAAACAAACTCGGGCGGTGCGAAATCCGAGCCGTCTTGATATCGCGAAGGATTGTATGCACCGTCAAAAAGTAAGGAACGATATGTTCGAAACAATCCATCTTTGAATTCGGCACGTTTACGAACGTTCGACAAAGTGGGTTCACGGTTGGTTGCCAAGAAGTTTCATCAAGGTTAGGTGTCTCCGTAAGGCTTAAATTCGTTTCGCTCGCTTTAAATGTTTTGTCAGCTTTTTTTTTTTTTTTTTTTTTTTAACGTGGCAAGACGCGAATGTGTGTGGCGCACGCCTGAAGAACGGAAAGCTTTATGTTGTTATTTTTTAATGGAGTACCGGGTACGGCATAATTACGTCGCACAACCTCGTTTGCACGTTTACTATTAACAAAAAATGGTCAAAGGGCAGGCGAGCTGGCGTAAGTTTAGCATGATGGAAAACTTGATACTATATGAATACATGAAATCTTGATGGAAGATCGAAGACAGGGGTGGAAAGAGTACTTCTTTCAAGAAGTCCTGTATCCGTCCCCGTCCTTGATGTTTTATCCTTTCATGTATTCGTATCTATTCACCAACACTCTCATTTTTAATTATTAAACCTGAGACTGAGGTAGGAAAAGGAAAACGCAAAAAAAAAAAACGGGCAACGTCTCAAGAGACGTTGCCTGTTCTTTTTCTGTGTCCTTTTGCGTTTACCTTTTCCTACCCCAATTTCAGGTATATCATCAGGTTCACATTTCTCTATTTTAGTTAAAAGCAGAATGTACCGCTTTCACATTGATGATCCAGCCACCTGACAAGGGGGACTCTCGTCATAGGCTTTTGAAAGCAGGGCAAAAAGGGCGGGGTGTTTGACATCGGGTGCTTTCATGGACCTACCGCCAAAAGCTACAAGAACCTTATGAAATTTGGCATTTTAACAATGTTTACTTCTACTTGTGCAACTTTCTGCTGCGCGCTGGTGAGGCATGACGACTATGAAGCCAGGCCTCGAGAATACCGGAGGAGTCAAGCATAACCAGCACTGTCTGAGCGACCGAGCGGGCGAGAGAGCCACCAAAAATGGCGCCTTTCCTTTTTTCCTCTTCTCTCAGAGTCGGCGCATGCGCCCAGCGATCTCTGAAAAAGGTCAATTGTCAGCGTCCTTCTTCTGACTTAGAAAATAGTTCCAACGAAATTCCTTCGTATTGTCCATTGCGGCTTTGGAGAATCTGAAAAAAACGATGGGAAACCTATTAATGCCCTAGGAACGCACTAATAATCTCGCTTTGTTTCACCCTCCTTTAGCAGTTCCCGTGCTAGTTTGAACGTTTTGAGCGCGGCAATTGCACCGCAGTACGAGCTGCAAGCGTGGCGGAGAGCGGTGTGACGCCCGTGACGCCTTGTTGTTTGTCCTCCGCACAACGGCTTTGACCGCGTTAGGATTTTAGCCTCCATACCGACTTTGCATTTGAAAAAGGTCTATACTGCATTTGTGCGCACAGCATTCAGTGTTTTAACGGCTTTACTTGCGACTGTGTTGTATACCAGCGATCTCGGATTACGTGTTTGGAGTTTGCTGTTCTCATTGTGAGAATACATTCACATGTATTCTCTACTTGTTAACATACAGCTGAGGAGGCAGCCAGCACTTGGATGCACGGGCTTCTGCCTTTTGGCTGCCTCAGGCCCTCGGCTCGGTGTGGAAGTAAAGCCAATAAGCTCCTCTGAACCTTTGTACACTGTATCCACCCCATGCTTTCAACGGATGTTCACCTTGCTCTTGCCAGTTTTCTCAAGTACTACAGTCGTCGTGTCGCACCGCTGAACCTAAAGTTGTTTGCCTCACGATTTGCATCTTAGAGAGAGGTTTCACAAGCAAACTTGTATGCAATATAGAATGTGTTTGATGGAATAATAAATGTAGATAATTTAAAACGGACCACTTGCATCCGTTCCTTCTTTCTGTTTTACATTCTAGATGGCAAATTTAGCGAATTTTCAATCTAGCACGTTCGAACTAACATTGTCCTTTGCATTTTCGGTGGCAACAAGATTCGTCGCTAGAATCTGTCGCGCTTGTGTTGACCATAAATCCAGTGCGGACTTGTCGTTCAATCTTGCAGTGTGGAAGCGGAATAAATTGACATTGCATGCTCAGGTGTTCCCCATGGTAATTTGATTTATGTCATACTGAGCGGTTTAAAGTTTCCACTCGTGTGCAGCATAGGCTTTGTGTGATGTAATTGTAAACGTCCAGATAATTTAAGACATATCTCCTGTAATTGTTTCTTCAGCTAATTTCTGAGTGACTTTTCAGTCGACTATGTGCGAGCAAAAATTGTTCTCGGCGTTGTCGGAGTGGCAGTGCGCCGAGGAAGCGGCGGTCAACGTCGAGCGGGAAACGGTGGCTTCGGCCGCCGGCACGTTGTGGGCACTTGGCAACTCCAACTACCATAATATTCCAAGAGATGCCCCACCCTCCAAAAGACAACCCGCCCCCTATTTTTGGCTCAATTTGCTATTTCCTTTTAAACATCAAACGATAGCCCACTACTAGCAATCAGTGTTGGGATCAACTATGACCTCGGCGTAAATGCGGCTAGTTAACTATGACGGAATATAAGCGAACATTGCTGACTGGGAAGTACAGTCATCTTTGCTTCATTGTCCCTCGCTGCAGTAACAAGTTTTGCAAAAAAAACACCTAAACTTTTTTTTTTACTTATTTTTATTGTACATTCAAAGTTAGCCCACTTCCTGTTTTCACCCGATTTACTCTCAATATTAGTTGGGCTATCTCGGGATATTACGGTAGGCTCGATGCAATCTCGGGCCTGAGATTATATTAAAATTTCTTGAGCAGAGCGAGGGGTGATTCCGCGAAGCACAATCTGTTTGCCAGCCGTTTCCTGTTTAAAAGCCCAACTAGTCGAAACGGTCGGCAAGCTAGGTTGCCAAACAGATCGCACGATCAGCCCCCACCTCTGTCAGGAAAAATTAAATATAATCTCGGACTCAAGCTTGCACCAAGCCTCTTCAGAACGGCCAAAGGCTCTCAGCATGCCGACGGCCGACGAGGCCATTTCTCGCACCCTCAACGCAGCGCCGCTCTATTGAAAGAGCTCCGCAATCCCCGTCGCAGAGTTCCGGATTGAAAGTGGATCCAAAGTTGGGCAAATTACAAGTGGGCAAATTACAAGCACAATTCGGTCTGTGAAACACTCAAAAACAGGCGCTTTTTTTTTTTTTTTTTCCGAATTTTGCGGTGGGCAAGTTACAAGCGTGATCGGCCGCGCTACGTCGGCGAGAAATCCTGTTTCCAAATTTCGAAGCGCATGCCGAAAGGCATAGAAAAAGAAAAAAAAGAGCACATGTTGAGACATGGGACATGGCCGGGTCTCAACACATAACCATTGCAACACCGCTGAGCGCTGCCCCACAGTGATACAGTGGCGGCAGCACCGGCCGCCAGTCACCGCTGCCGCCGCTGAACGCGCGAAGGACATACACGGCCGCTGCCAGCGCCGTGCGGGGGTGTGCAGTGGCTCATTAAAAAAAAAATGAAAGCCGCTTACAACTCTCTGTAACGCCGAATTAGAGCGCAGCTCTTGAGGAGGAGGAGGAAAGGGCACTGGGGGGGGGGGGGGGTTAAACTAACCAGGGGGGGGGGGTCACGTTACCTTGGGGGTCTCGTGACCCCCAATGCCGATGATGTCATCACTGACGTCACTGATGACGTCATCAGTGACGATGACGATGCGGGTACCGATGACGTCATTAGTGACGTCACTGATGACTTCACCAGTGATGATGACGATGACGATGCGAATGTCGGTGACGTCATCAGTGACGTCGCTGATGACGTCATCAGTGATGATGACGATGACGATGCGGATGCCGGTGACGACATCAGTGACATCACTGATGACGTCATCAGTGATGATGACGATGACAATGCGGATGTCGGTGACGTCATCAGTGATGATGACGATGTGGATGCCGGTGACGTCATCAGTGATGATGACGATGACGATGTGGATGCCGGTGACGTCATCAGTGATGATGACGATGACGATGTGGATGCCGGTGACGTCATCAGTGATGATGACGATGCGGATGCCGGTGACGTCATCAGTGACGATGACGATGTGGATGCCGGTGACGTCATCAGTGATGATGACGATGTGGATGCCGGTGACGTCATCAGTGATGATGACGATGCGGATGCCGGTGACGTCATCAGTGATGACGATGACGATGTGGATGCCGGTGACGTCATCAGTGATGATGACGATGACGATGTGGATGCCGGTGACGTCATCAGTGATGATGACGATGTGGATGCCGGTGACGTCATCAGTGACGATGACGTCATGCGACATCGGCGGGGGTCACGTGACCTCGAGGAGGGGGCCACGTGACCTCAGGGGAGTCACGTGACTTCGGGGGGTCACGTGACCCCCACGAGGTCACGTGACCTTGGTGGGGGGCTCGCGCGGTGCATTATGGGACATTTCCCATGATGCACCGCGCGGTTACGCCGACGGCGACGCCGACGCCGACGGCGACGCCGCTCAAGCCGGAAACGGGCCCCTAAGAGCTGCGCTCTAAAAAAATGTTAGCTCACCTGATCTAAAGCACTGGATATTCAGGATTTTGCACGCATCTTTTAATTACACTTTCGGATAATTCGACCCAGTTTCGCATGTCCCATCCAGATTGAATTAACGGAAGTCGACTGTATATATGCTCCCAGTATGTGTAAAGTTTTCAATGAACAGGGGAAGTTTAGCACACCTTTGAGTTCTGTTTCCTTGCACATAAGTGGGGTGCCCTAATATTACTTGTACATTGAACAGCACATGCTCCAAACTATCTTGCATAGCAATATATATATATTGAAATTCATTGTGCTCTTTTGTTGTAATTTTGTTTTGCAGAACCCAACTACTGTCAGCTCATGGACACAGTGCACATGCCACTGCACAACTTTTACCCCTCTGCGATCGTTCCTACAGGAGACGGGCCTCATTTCTACAACAACTCGTCTTCGATATAATTTATTGCTCCTAACTTAAACCCCCCTCCGGTGTACATAAAAGATGCAATTCGTTCTGCTTTTTTTTTCCCCACTTATCCTTTTTCTGGTTACAGGATCTCGTGGAGCTATTCGAAAGCTCCGTGTACCACGCTCGTTTACACATTTGCGGGCCGCGTCTTTGGGGTGTCTTGGAAATTACGGTGAAAGTAGGCATTTACTTACTAACTAGTGCATTTGGGGAATGTTGGATCTCAACACTTGTCATCTCAGGGTGTGTGTGTGCACAACCTTTTCTTTTTTTCGTAGCACGGTTTCCTTTTTATACGGAGTGCTAGCACAGCACAGGATTCCCTAGCCAACTCCAGTGTGAAAGGGTGTGACTGCAGCTCACGAAAAGTGTGCATGTGTGTGTATTTGTAGACAATTCAGTATTGCTGATAGCATCTTGAGAAGCACTCTGGACGAAGCTTGACACATCTACCATTTTCGAGGTTGTGAGAAAGCTGACGGGTTTGCGAGGATCGCAGAGTGCGTTTTGGTTGAATCATGGCAAGTGAGTTCAAAACATCGAAGGGAGCGTTACTTTGGGGATCGACGGATCAGCTCGTGTAGCTCTCTTTGCAAAATTGCTTGCTCAAATTTTCCCTTGTTACATGGGACAGCCTGCTTTTTTTAGCTGAGATGTAGAAATGCTGTGTTGAGACAAGGGGAAAATAATGAGCCTCTCTGAGCTTTCTGCACTGTCTGTGAAGTGGGCAACAGGAACAAGCATCCTCCACTTGTGTGGATGTTGAAAACTGATGCACTTTGTTTTTGTATTTTGATTCATTACTGCATTTATCAGGAGCGAGCATGCCTGAACCCATGGCTGTTCCTATGCCTCGAGTTTTCAGCAAAGCACTTGAAAGGTTGCTGCCGATTGTAATCTCAGTAACCCATGGTGCATTGTGCTGAACATCTGCATGTTTATGCATACTCAAGCACATATGGCATTACTTTTCCAGCTAACCTTCCTAACCCGGTGCTAATTTATAGGTACATTTTAACAGTTGACAATATTCCCACCTAGCACACATTAATGCTGCCGGTGTGCAAAATTTGAGCAACTGTTCCGCATGTGTGCTTGTCTTGGCACATCCAAAGTAAAGTAAAGTTGCAAAATTGTGGCATATATAAGGTTTGTGGAGCTGGGCTAAATATACTTAGCTTTCACACTCAAGATACAGTGCTTAATTAGAATAAGGAGCTTGTTACAGAAATTGCTCAGAATGACCACTGTCATAATAAAGCAGTGTTTTCTAGTAACTCGTTCATATTAAAGCATGATTCGCAGGGCATTATCTTGCTTGCAAATGTAGAGGGATACTTGTGATAACCCCACTGTAAACATCTCCAAGACAAGAAATAAAAAGTGTCCAAAGAAAGCAGTTTTCTGGTCACTCAAAATCTTGTGGGTATAACTTGACATGATTATTGACTAAAAATTTTGTTCATATTTTCTTTGACCATTGTTTCTAACCGAAGCACAAGATATGATCACAAACCGGTAACCATTGACTAAAATAGTAATGGTATTTGTTTTACAGAACAATTAAGTAGCAAGCTTATTATATCAATGTCTTGTAGTGCATGTTATGATATCACCTTATGTTCATTGAAGTTATTTATTAATTTTGATGGTAGACATAAGCATTTGGAGGACGTCAATGTTGAACCAAACTTTTAGAGCTCAAAATGAAGAGTAGAGTATGCTTGTTTATTTTCTTTCAGTAATGTTAGCTGTATAAAGAATGACTTTATTTTCTTTTATGTAAAATTATACTTTGAGTACATTGATTTTGTTATATAAAAGTTCACAAGGATATCCACAACTTACATTAAAAAATACTTTGGAAAAGTTTCTTTTGAACACGAAATCGTTTACGTTTTTTCTGGTTTCCCTTTGCTAATTTTTCTGCCTCTGGATGTTTTGGTTTTGTTATTTTTGAAGTGCTGCCAATTTGAAATTAATAGCTATATAGCCCTAACTGTTAGTTTAAATTAGGTGTAATTGACTTATATTGGTTTAAAAAGACTTATGGTAGCCCAGAATATTGCAAACATTGCCAATCTGCCTTGGTGGACAATTTACCCGAAACTTCGGATTTTTATCTAGTTCTGTGAGAGGCATATCTTCTTGCCTTACATCAGATTTATGCTTCTAGAGTTTTTTAACATTTGTAAAAAAAGTTATAAAGTGAAAAAAACGTCTCCATATTCTTTTTTAAGCTTTGTGTGATGTTAACAAAAATTATATTTTGTTAGGATAGTTTGAACTGTAAAAATTGTGTACCTCTTTTATACAGTTTCGTACAAGGAATATAAACTAAGAACAAATCATATTTTGAAAACTTCTTTTTTTACTTTTTCAAAAAAATTAAAGTTATCTTGTAATTATTAAAGGAAGAAACCTGGGATGTCTTGCTTTAGCGTTCACCTTATGTTTCCCTATAGCACATAATAATAATATTTATTAAACTCGGAAAGAGTTGCGACACCACAAAAGGCGAGAAGCCCATACCAGGAGGTCTGTGGTGCCGCAGACCTCCTGGTTTAAAAACAGCTTTTGATAACAAAAGCTGTTTTAAAAGTTGTGTTCAAAAATATTTACCCACCATTTGTATTAAAAGAAAGTGTAGTAATGTTATGTTTGGATCTTGGATCTGAATGTCCCACCAAATGCTGCCCCTGAAATGTATTTCTGGTTCTGAATACCGAAACAAGGAAGTACTCCCTCCAGGCACGTAGCCAGGATTTTGTTTCGGGGGAAGGGGGGGGGGGGGGGGGGGGGGGGGGGGGAGGGGAGGGGAGGAGAGGGGGCATGACAAAATTCTGCATGAGGGGAAGGGGTGAGAGGAGGACCCAGCAAAATAGAAGATTTCGGGGGAGGGGGGGGGGGGGGCGGGTTTCATCAGAGAGTTCGGCGGTCTATTGATCCAGCCGCCAGTCTGGCAGCACTGATCGAACAGTCTGGCAACTGTGCGCATCGCATTCCGAGCCTCGTCGTCCGCCATGATGTGCCTTGTCGTCTCGAGCCGAGAGCCGTTTGACTATATGTGGCGCGAGAGACGAGGGTGAAAATAATCGTTCTGCGCTCTGCAAGACGTTAGAAGAAAAACATAATGGGGTACTGTAGTGCCGTTGGTTGCTCGAACAGCGCGAAAAAAAATGGTTCAGGATGTACCGGTTCCGCAAGGAAAAGAAAACCGTGCAAGGCACCAGATCCGAGAGGCCAAAAACAAAGGACGGCTAAGTGTAAGCCGATTTCGAGTTCTCGATTGTGCGAGGTAATTTTATGATTATTTTTGTTTTGTGAGTGCGTTTTATTTTGACTAAAACTGTGCAGGGACTTGACGCGACAGCGTCAAGTACGGCTCAGCGTCAGGTGAGAGTGTCCGTTGATCATGAAGCCATTTCCTGCCGCGCAAGACCTGATACCTGCGAGCGGCCTAGCTTGCAAACTTTGTATACTGCATTTCAATATAAGTGGGAGCGGAACCGATCGCTGCAAGCGCGTGCACGTCACGCTGAACGACGCGTGCACTGTACGAGCGCACGCGCACCCGTCCGCACGTTCAAAGCATGCAGCTCGCTTTCTCTACGCTCGAGTTTTTAGAAGCGGCCTCGCATCTCTGCTTCGCCGTCTCGCAAGCGCTTTGTTTAGCTAGCGATACCTTCAATTTGATTTTTTTTAATACGTCTAGTAAATGGTTACTTGTCATGCCTTTTTTTTTAGGTGCATTTCCCAAACAGTGAAT